TTTAAAAACTTTATGAACAATCAGACTTGAAACACTTAAATAGAAGCCATTCTTTTGTAACCCAGAAGAACTGACAAACACTAACTTACCATGAAAAAGGTCACTTTTAAATTAAAGGTCAAGGTTTTATCAAACTTGAACAAAATTGGTTTGGAAATATAAGACATTATATGAACATGTTGGAGTGTTCTTCTCATTCCCGAATTCAAATAGTTATAGTAGATTATCTGAATGAAAGATTGTACTACAAAATGAGATGTCATGACAACAATTAGCAAAAACAATAATTTGGAGTACACAGCATGACAGTTTTACAAATTGAAGATTAAAATAAAAGCGGACATGAACATATTCTGAAACATTCTACCAGTTCAACCTTTCTATTCATAGAATATATCAAAAACATTTGCTGGCCCTGACATAAAATCCACACTGTACATATATATTATTCTCGGGTGACACTGGCTAGTGGAATTGCAAAACCCTGACCACTCACCGCGGTCTGCTATGGGCATTTACTTTTCTAACTCTTTTCCATAGGGGCCTGCACCTGCTGATTTCGGCATGGATTTTGAAAAAAAAAAAAACTCAGGGGAAAGGGACTTTATAAGGCCCCCAAATCACTGGCTGATTATTAAGTGATATAAATTCTATGAAGGTTAGACAAACCTTGCTTGATAAAAACAAAATACCAATTTAAAATTTCATAAAATCTACAGGCAATCAATCACAGAAATAAAGTAGAGATATCATGGATATATTGATTAGAAAATCAATGAGAAAACATCAGTAGTTTTACCTACTGATATATTGTCAAGATAAGATGAATGCTTTTTATTATATCTAGCAGTGAATATTGAATCTCTCACCACTGTTAAATTGGCTAATGTAATGGATAGCATTACCGTAAAGCTGGTGGGATAAATGTCCTGAAATATCATCTTAATAGTGAGCAGTGAACCGCTGGGCCTCCAAACCTTTAACGCCCTCTTCCCACTTCAATATATTTCATTGATTTCTTGGATGACCTATATATTTATTTCTTTGAATATGTGCAACTTAACAATAACAAGTCCATCCATGCAGCAACATGTTATTTAGCTTAAATGATCTTCAATATAGGGAGGGGCAATAATATAATATTAAACAATATTTACAATAACAATATATTTGCAATATTTGCATGGCAATCAATATACATATTGAAATAGGATTTCCCCCTATAATACCCCCCCCCCCCCCCCCCCATCAACACACACACACATGTAACCATGAAAAACAAATACCAACTGATGTTTTTTCCTTTTTTTTCTCCAAATTTGGAACCCCCATCATTCCCGATGTCATTTGGAACTCTTTTCTTCAATACTTATAAATTATCAGAACATAAGAGCATGTAAAAATTTAACCTTGACAGGGTAAAAAAAAAAAAGACAGAAAAATTGAGTCGATACATAGAATGTACAGTTCAGATCTGACACTTCATGACAACTTGGTGGAAGTTTTGGATACCACTGTCCAGTGGGTGTGGTTTGTAGGAATTTACAAGGTCTTGTCACTTGAGGGCTGCCTTGATGACAACATGTATTATCATATGCAACATCATTAAAAAGGAAAGTCTCCGTTGAAGTTGGCAAGGGTGTTTCAGAATCAAAAGTAAGCATATATTTACCAGGTATTTCAATGATATCAAAAATCCATTACCGCCATTTCTTCCCACTCTTATATCAATGCACCAAGCCATTATTAACATACAGCATGCACATTGTACTTTTTTTAAGCATTAAAAGCAGGATATGCAAACAACTTAAATAAGGTTTACCTTTAATCTTTTAAGTGCTTCAAAAGCTTTCAAAAAGCAAACGAGCTGGTTTTTTTTTTTACGAAGTCTGAGTCATATATCTTGAGAATTTCAATACACTTGTATATATATCTGTTCTTATAAAAATTATAAATAGAATGCAGAATTTTACATTTCAAAATTCAGATATTTCTGCACAGCACAATTCCTTAAAACTCCAGAACTTATTTTTCATACTTCCCTACCGGGAATCAATTTATTTTTGAAAGTTTTGCAATGCATTGTTTTTACACATACAGCACAATTCTTTAGAACTCGGGGACTGATTTTTTAAAAAAAAATTTGCTGCGGGCATTTAACTTCAGTTTGAGAGTATGTACTACTTGATTCAAGGACATTTCTGAATTATGCATTACTTGATGCAAGCAGGAACTCATCTTAAGTATTTCAGCATATATCTGTGATAAATCCACATGCAAGTCTCAAATACTATAAATGTTTAATGAGAAGCGATTTCTTTTAGGTCGGGACCCTTACTTTTTAACAATACATAGGGAAAGAACCCATAATTGATTTTTGTTTTGTTATTGATTGCAATTAATAAAGCATATGCAATATTTTTACACGATTGTAGCACAGTCGAATCTGCTCAAGCAACCATCTGTATTAATTAAAAGACCATCTGTTTTATGCAACCACTTTTCATTCCTCCCGACCATTTTTACTACAATACTGACCCCAAAATTATGATAAACGGCCACATTTGATACATTTTAGCGACCATGTTTGACAAAAATATACCAAACGGTCGTTGAAGTAGTTGTGTATCTTCAAATTTGCGACCGTCACCACATTTGACGAACGGGCTACTTCATGATCTCTTCACCAAGTTCAGTGAACAAATTTGACAAAACCAATTTCCAAACTTATAATAAATTCATTGATGTAATAACGTTAACTTAAACACCTAAAAATCAATATAAACAAGCTTATGAGTGAAGGTACTGTCATACAGATTAGCATGGTTATGAAGCTAGTACCAAGTCAGTGACATTATCCAAAGGATGATAAGAACAGTCGCATCACAAAGTACATGTATAATATATACAAATATATAAATTAATCATAATTTGTAGAGTGTATGCATGGAAATACACAAAAGAAATAACACTCACTGACAAAAATTATTTCAACATTTGATCAGCACAAAAAGGTCATACAGTGCAAAATAGTTAAATATATACATGTGACCGGGGGCAGGGTGTCCTACTGGGTGTCTTCGGCAGTATGTTTCAGTGAGGTACGTAGCACTATAAAGTCGGCATCAGTTCCACGCTATCACAAGGAGACGGACACGAACACATCGCAGCCTCCCAAAACAAACATGCATACACTACATGCATGCATCTTGCACACAGGGGAGGCCGTCCTTAATGACCATAGCTGTTATACAATACTAAACCAAACCAAATATTTACATGTATACACAATGCTGTTTAGGTTTTCTTCTCCCAATTATCTGCATACCACCTCTGGTGTATTGTCACAGATGAAAGTTGGTTTACTTAGGTCTTTGATTACACAACCTAGTAAGGGGGGGGGGGGGGGGGGGGGG